TGATTATCACAAAAAAATTTAACAGGTCCGTCGGCTATATCCAGCTTCAAATCATTTATGAAGCGTTTAATCTAGACGGCATAAGTTATAGCAACGCTACAAGCAATCTACTCGGCTTCCATAGTATACCGAGCTACACAACCTTGTTTCTTGTTAGACCAAGAAACACATCCACCTCCAAAGAGGAATACAAATCCTGAGGTTGATTTTCTATCATCTGGGTGTCTTACAAAGTCGGCATCAGAGTACCTAGTAACCTCTAAGTTGTCAGCTTGGAAGCATAACTTGTAATTTTTAGTTTTCTGAATATATCTAAATATCTTTTTTACGGCTTGCCAATGAGTCATCCAATGATTACTCTGAAATCTACTTACAAGACCATATGCATGACTCAAATCAGGTCTTGTACATAACATGACATAATTTATGTATCCTTTGAGCATATGGAATTCTTTCCATTTCAACTTTGTCACTATCATTTAATGGACACATTTTCTTTGACAATTTTAAGCCTTTACAAACTGGTGTATCTATGGGCTTGCAATTTTCAATCTTAAATCTCTTTAAAATACTTTCTAAATAATTTTCTTGAGATAAATATAGAAGTCTTAAATTTCTATATTTTGTTATTTTAATGCCTAATACATATGAGGCTTCTCCTATATCTTTCATCTCAAAATGGGAACTTAGCTATGATTTGGTATAGTTAATCATATCAATATCATTACCGGCTATCAAAATATGATCTACATACAGTGATAATATAACAAAATTGCTCTCACTATTCCAAACATATACACAATGGTATAACCTATTGGCTACATAACTAATTTCAATTATTGCATTATGAAAAGTAAAATACCATGGTCTAGAACATTGTTTTAGATGGTATAAAGATTTCTTAAGCTTGTATACTTTTCTTTCTTGGCCTTTAATTAAATATCCTTCTTATTGTTTCATGTATATGTCTTCTTTTCATTCTCCATTTAAAAAAGTTATTATGACATTCATCTAAAATAATTCTAGATCATAATATGCAACTAATGCTAGGATGATCCTAATAGATGAAAATTTTGCTGCTGGAGAATAAGTCTCTACATAATCTATACACTCCTTTTGGGTAAATCCTTTAGCTACCAACCTAGCTTTATATTTGTCAATAGATCCATTGACATTAAGTTTTTTCTTTAGGACCCATTTACAACCAATAGTTTTTTTATCTTTAGGGAGGTCAACCAACTCCCAAACTTGATTTCTTTTAATAGAATCAAGTGCATCATTCATGGCTTAAGTCCACTCAGTTGAGTCATATGAGCTAATAACTTCACTATAGCTTCGAGGTTCATCTATTGTATCCTCATTCATTGAAGAATAATTATCTTCATTCATAAATACATAAAATTCTTCTAAAGTCGTAGGTGGGGCTCTAGTTCTTTTAAGCCACTCTGATATACTTGATTCAATTGAATCATTCTTACTAAATATAGAGGAAGTTTGAGAAATATGGTCTTCCAAACCCTTATCTTTATCAATTTCATGTAAGTCAACAGGCTTATTTAAAATATTTTTATCATCTATATTTTTTAAGAAATGAGCATCATGACTCTTTACTAATGATCTAGTATCATGGTTATATAATCTATACCCCTTAAAATTTTCTGAATAGCTTATAAAAGAGCATTTTATAGTTTTACTTTGTAATTTATCTCTATTTTGTGGTAGTATAAGCACATGTACCCAAAAACCCCAAACTTTCAAGATAGTAAGTTCAAGTTTCCTACCTGTCCATAATTCATATGGGGTCAAGTCTATAGATTTAGTTGGGACACGATTAATAATATACAGTGCAATGCTGAGAGCCTCACCCCAAAAATGATGTGATAAATTTGAATGGCTCATCATGGACCTAACTATGCCCATTAGAATTCTATTTCTTCTTTCAGCTACACCATT